TTTTAGCACTAGCTGTTATATTAATTAATAGTTTTAACATTAGCTGTTATATTAATTAATTTTTTAACACGAGTTGTTATGTTAATTAATAGTAGACAATATTGTAATCTTTTAGCACTAGCTGTTATATTAATTAATAGTTTTAACATTAGCTGTTATATTAATTAATTTTTTAACACGAGATGTTATGTTAATTAATAGTAGACAATATTGTAATTTTTTTAGCACTAGCTGTTATATTAATTAATAGTTTTAACATTAGCTGTTATATTAATTAATTTTTTAACACAAGTTTTTATGTTAATTAATACTAGACAATATTGTAATTTTTTCTAGCTATTATATTAATTAATAGTTTTAACATTAGCTGTTATATTAATTAATTTTTTAACACAAGTTTTTATGTTAATTAATACTAGACAATATTGTAATTTTTTCTAGCTATTATATTAATTAATAGTTTTAACATTAGCTGTTATATTAATTAATTTTTTAACACAAGTTTTTATGTTAATTAATACTAGACAATATTGTAATTTTTTAGCACTAGCTGTTATATTAATGAATAGTTTTAACATTAGCTGTTATATTAATTAATTTTTTAGCACAAGTTGTTATGTTAATTAATAGTTTTAACATTAGCTGTTATATTAATTAATTTTTTAGCACAAGTTCTTATGTTAATTAATAGATAATATTGTAATTTAACATTAACTGTTGTATTAATTAATTTTTTAACATTAGTTGTTACGTTAATTAACAGTAGACAATATTACAATTTTTTGACACTAGCGATATTAATATTATATACGTTTATTAAATTGATTTTCAAGCTTCAAAAGATTAATTTTTGTTGAATATAAATTGAATTGTTATCAATTGTTAATTGATTATATTATCATTCAATCGATATTAAATTATAACGTTGTGATATAAAAGAATCTTGCAATTTTAATCAACTTATAAATTATATTTTTAATCAATTTAATTTTTACTTCATTTTGTCGACTGAACGAATAATTTTCGTGGATTTAAATCTCTAAATGAGAGTTACATTTGCCTGGCAATGCAAGCCGAGAAACGTTCGAAAAATTGTTAAATTAATAACCCCCGCGACACGAGGTAGGGAAACCTGTATCCACTTATGAAATGCTGTCTTAAAAAAGAAAGAAACGAACCTAACTACACGCCGGGCTTCATTTCCTCTGTCACAAGAGTACAACTCTTCCGCGACTCTTCCTCCAAGTAAATCTCATAAAAGAAACAGTTGTCACAAGACACTTTGTAGCTACGATTACGAGGAGGAAGGCACACCAGTGTGAAAATTACTTTTGAAACAATGATCCGGCATATGTACTGTTCCCCCTCGCTCGTTTATAAAACTATGGAAGCATCAAGTTATCATTACGAATGGAAGATCGTCAAATCATGTGTAAACAAAGTGATTGGGACAAATTCTATTTAGATTCTTCACTTTTGACGTGATGCAAAATTATTATCTTCTTCTCGAAAATAGAAAAAATAATTCTTGTGTTTCCTCGTTTCTACAGTGTTGCGAGTTCTATACTGTGTAAACATTTTGCAATGGAAAATTCACGAATTACGGGAGTTTCCCTCCCGACAAGTGATTCACTCGATGTCGTAAAATGTTCGACACGCGTGGTTCGAGCTCTTCTCGCTCGTTTTCTTCCCGGCGAGTTCGTTAACTCTCCGTACGAATCCGTGTGTGTAAAACGCGTACACAGGGGTACATAAGCATTTCTTCTTCCACGTGCGATATAATCATCGTCAGATTTATAACAGGATTGAACACAAATAGGGCCTCTCGACCCATCAAGCCATTCGCTAGACGAGGAAGCCAACCCCCTTTTCTACGCTCCATCGGTAACTTAATCAATAGAGACAAGAAACATAGTACACTTTTTCCTTGTGCCGGCCCCCCTTATTCGTAAATTAACTAGGTGCCAATTACTAAATTACCGAACAACGAAAATTGAACGCGAATGGGTGACAGGTGACTTCTTTTAGAATTTGATTGTTGGGCCTGTTGAATTTCTCAGGCTGTGAAATTGTAAAGTCACTAATAAATCGAAAATATTTACTATATAGTCTATAAATATATATATAAATATTATAAATATATACTATATAGTCTATAAATATATAATATTATAAATATGTATAAATAATAAAATTAATATAATAAATCAAAAATATTTACTATATAGTCTATAAATATATATAAAATTATAAATATTATAAATATATACCATATAGTCTATAAATATATATATATATAATATTATAAATATGTATAAATAATAAAATTAACATAAATATATATATAATACTATAAATATATACTGTACAGTCATTGTAAATATAAGTATATACTATATAGTCATTGAATAACTAAATGAAGGGACATAACTTTTTTTAAAAAGTTGTTGAACTCTCAAAGCAGCTGCAAACGTTATAACATTTGAAATTGAAAGAAATGGTACATTTTTTTGAATATCAGTTGCACGATCTAGTTTAACCTGATTTAACCTGAATTATATTAAACGTTGCTAACAAGCTCGATCGCGTGATTATTTATTAAAACGCGAATGAGGAAAGACATGAAATATTCATTCGGGAAAGTGAAACAAGCTTTCCGGCTGCTTCTGGTAACGAATTTAGCTGGCTTCGGATAAACCGACCAACATTGTATTATAGCATCCGTGGCGCGTGCATGCTAGTCCGGTTTGATTAAGCCACAGTTACATTTGACCAAACGATTATGCAAGCCAGCGAAGGCACGCTTTCTTCGAATTCGGGAATTAACCTCGTCAGCGAAATATTAGATTGCGTAATAAATTCATTCGTCTCTAGGCGGAATATCGCAATATTGCAACAAGACTCTTATCGGTGTTATCAGTGTAATTTATTAATTGCGAGCCATCGCTGCACGTCGTATTATATTTCACCAGGAAACACATTTATAACTTAAAGAAACCTAGATCTTCGATCTGCATAAGTCATAAAAAATTTTCATGAAAATTAGAATTGAAGTTTTGTAAAATTTCAATTTTTATAAAAATTAAAATTGAAATTTTATAGAATTTTAAAAGAGAGGCATATAGTAAAACTCGCGTCGCGTGTCAACGTCTCCTAGTAGCTAGCAATGCACGTGGATAATTAAAAATTTGTTAAACAAAAGTTCCAATGGTAAAGCGAGTTGACGAGATGACGAATCAATGAGTCCTCATCGTAACACGCGCGAAACCAAGATGGCCATGCTCGAGGAGGCTTGGCACACGCTTTAACTGCTAATCGATTAAGAACAGACCAAGAGAACCTGCGTAACCACCACTCCTCCGTCGTAAAAATTTATTTGCTAATTAACCCCACGGCGTTGTGTACGTAAATCGGTCAAGGATGGTCCTCTCCCCCTCGCTATTTTTTTTTTTTTTTTTTTTTCACCGATCGTCTATTCGCACATTTTTACTAGGAAATTGGAGAAAAATACATTTAACTGAGCGATAGCTTCAAATTTGGAATGGATTTTCGTTCGGATATCTTAACGGAGGGATTTTTATCTTTAAAACAGAAATAATAAATTTAATTGGCGATCTTTTGATGATATTGAATGGATCAGAAAGAGTCGTGATTAGACTACGGAATTTTTTTTAATGTTTGAAATAGATTTTGGACGATTATCTAATAAGTAGAATCGGAACTTTTCTGTATAGAGCAGATCTAACGAAAGTTTGGAGCATTTTTTAATTCTCGAACTGGTGACAATGGAATTTCGTTTGCACGCACGAGCAAAGTATGCTACCTTAAAACCAATGTTCGACCCATTTTTCACTCGAAAAGTGATAATTACGATGCTAATGAAAGTGTTAATGCAAACACACTGTGTTTCCTTCGAGCAACTACAACACGTACCTCGCATTCTACAATGTTTAGCGCGATGGAAACGTTTTTGTTCTTCTACTCGAACATTTTCGTCGGCGATTAAAATTCGAGTTAGATTCAAATCAAATTTGGGTAGTTTTAGAAATTAATTTTATTACAGTCATGCATTTAATTACAACTAAAGATATATCCGCCATCAATTACATTTAATTACAGTCGAAAATATTCGTAATCAATGACATTTAATTACAATTACAAATACACATACAATTGTCCACGACACATTTACACAACCAACAATTTATTTTGAATTAAATAAAAAAATTTAAAAAAGAAAGTAAAACATATCAAATTAAATTAAATACGTGCTTTAAATATACTGCTCACAAAAATTAGGGGATATTTTAAAACGAACATGAAGCCATAAAAAAAAGAAGCATTCGATTTTTTTTCCAAGTCGAGGAAAGTTGTTCTTGTTTAATAAAAAAAAAAATCAAATGCTTCTTTTTCCTATCGCTTCATATTCATTTTGAAATATCTCCTAATTTTTCTGAGCAGTGTATATTGAAATTAGAATAAAATCTAAGGTACATATGTACGGGTAGCATGATATTATCCAGTCGCGGTATGAGGTGTCGCCTATTATTATCACTTCAACTAATTGCGTGTCCTTTCTGACGAACACGTAACGTAATGCCGCGAGCCGAGCCGAGTCGAGTCGAGTCGAATCGAATCGAATCGAATCGAGTCGGGTCGAGTCGCGTCATGTGCGTATTACTTTTTTATTTTCCCCCATTCTCGTAGTGTCTCGGGGGGTCACCCGTGGTGTCACGAAGAGAAGAACGCCAGTTCACTGTGAATCGTCGCGCGGTGTGGATTTCATCCGGTCCCGGTTTATTCGTTATTTATAAATCTCGCGCGAACCTCTGATTCACCGTTTCCTCGAGACCGGCGAAAGCATGCGGCGATCTTAGCCAGTGATAGTTAGTGATATTAACCAGCTTTTAGTGATACGTCGAGCCGGTGGTTTTCTGCTTTCCCCGTTTAGGTTGCTGCTGAAAACTTGAGAAAATCGTGAGCAGTACCGAGGGTCGTTGCTCAACCATGGCGTCCTACCAAGGTAAAGATCCTACTGTGTATTATACTACCTTCTTCTTTTTCTTCTTCTTCGCGCGTGCAGCGAGGCATCGTGACGAAAATACGAATGGAAACTCGTTGGATTTAATTAACGAGTCGAATATGTATATATATATATATATATATATATATATATATATATATAGGATGTTCCAAAAGTAAAATTAATCGTTTGTAGTCGAAAGTACTTTTGATTAACAGATTGGATATTAATAGCTTTAAACTTCAACTGAACAATCATTTTCATTGTTACTATTGTAGGTTGTTCAATTAGTTGGAATTTTTGTGAGTACATAGGATATTCCAAAAGTAGAATTAATTATTTATAATAGAGATGCATACTTGAAGGAACTTTTGATTAACAGATTGGATATTAATAGCTTTAAACTTCAACTGAAAAATTATTTTCATTGTTACTATTGTAGGTTGTTTAATTAGTTGGAATTTTTGTGAGTACATAGGATGTTCCAAAAGTAGAATTAATTATTTATAGTAGAGATGNATACTTGAAGGAACTTTTGATTAACAGATTGGATATTAATAGCTTTAAACTTCAACTGAAAAATTATTTTCATTGTTACTACTGTAGGTTGTTTAATTAGTTGGAATTTTTGTGAGTACATAGGATGTTCCAAAAGTAGAATTAATTATTTATAGTAGAGATGCATACTTGAAGGAACTTTTGATTAACAGATTGGATATTAATAGCTTTAAACTTCAACTGAAAAATTATTTTCATTGTTACTATTGTAGGTTGTTTAATTAGTTGGAATTTTTGTGAGTACATAGGATGTTCCAGAAGTAGAATTAATTATTTATAGTAGAGTAGAAATGTCAACTTTTGGTTAACAGATTGGAGCTCATAATTTTGCTCCGTGTTAGCTCGATTAACTCCAATATTTGCTTTAGAGTGTGTGTGATAGAAATTGAACGTTAAAAAAGGGTAAAATTTTTCTTCCATAGGCAAAGGAACAGGAAATTAATTAAGATAAAGGAACAAACTATCGGCAAAGTTCGCATTAGGAAAACGCTCGGTTACAAGTTTAACAAGGACACAAATGCGACAGCCCTCAGGGACTGTTCAAACAAATAAGCGAAGTTCACAGAAATGTGTTGTGGATATTACAATGGACCGCGTATAAAGAAAAAATTTCTTCCTTTTTCAAAGGACCCTCGTTTAAAACGAAATGTTTAATTTGGGCATTGAAAAGTTCATTGTACATGAAGTAACAAATCGCAGTAGCGAGATTTTTCGAGAATTAACTTTTTTTGTAGAAAATCACGAAAATTAATTAAGGCAAAAGAATCTTTTGATTTTGTAGTTCGTTTGTTCAAGGAAATCAAATTAAAAAGGAATAAAGAAACGAAAAAAATTTTCTAAACTCATTCTCAATGTCTTGAGCAATAAGTACAATAAAATGTACTTCGAATATTATATTTCAGTCATCTATATTTACCTCTCGAATACATTCGACATCTTTCAGGGAATCCAAATTTATTAATAATTCGCGTTTATTCAAATTACTTGCATTCTCTTCTAAAAAAAAGAGTAATCTCTGTCGAATCTTTCAGAATGAGATTACTTGAAATCCACGAAATATAAAATTCAATTTCTCCCTTTATTATAGGGACAGTGTGTACATATACAGGGTTTGTTTTGTAACTTGTCGGACCTACTTCGAGAGCTGATTGTACACTTAAAAATAATGAAAAAAAGTCATATAAATATATGTCCTATCTGTCTTCGTTTATGAGATATAATGAATTTTATAAACAGAGCAAACT